GGGAGGCGGTGGAGAGAGGGAGTAGAGAGGGAGGGGCTTGTGCGGCGCGTAGAGAGAGGAAGCAGAGAGGGAGGGGCTTGTCCACGAGAGAGAGAGAGAGACGGGAGCCTCTGTGCGGCGCGTAGACGGGAGCGAGGGAGGGGCTTGTGCGGCGGCTAAGTGGGTGGTGGGCTTCTGTGAGAGAGGTGAAGTGAGGGGCGTATATATATGCTAGGGTTTCAAGCGGGCTGATGAGTGGGCCTCAGGCCTTTTATCGAAACAGGCCTCCTAAGAGGCCCGCCTCCGTTAATTGAATTTAGGAGGCTGTCATTTTCCGTAAATCGATTTACTGAGACGGTCAATTGTGACCGTCTTGGTAAATAAAATACCCGCCTCTATAAATGAATTTTGCATGATGGTTAATTGCGATCGCCTCCGTAAATAAAAACGACCATCTCCAAAAATCCCCAAGTATTTTACGAGGCGGTTGGATTTTGTGACCGCCTCGGTTAATAAAAGTACACTGCCTCGCAAAATCATTTATGTAGTAGTGGCACCAGATGCAATCGAGTAGGATTGAGCGAAGATATTAGGACCGGACAGGTGGTTTAACCGGTAAAAGACAGAATCAGAGATTATAAGGATTCGGTTCACTCTAAAGATCGTCCATACAAAAAGATCGTCCATGCAATCGAGCCGGTAAAAATCGGATGAACTGACCGGTTTTTAAGGAACCAGTGAACCAACCGGTTGCATATGAACTGTCCGGGTCAGGGCTGGCGACGCGTGTGAGTGCTGCTGGCGCGGCGTTGCACCTGTGGTCTCCTACTGTTGGTGGGTCCTGCCTGGCTGCTGCTTTTTGACGTACATGCGCGGCTGGTTAGGGTAAGTACATCGGTGTCTCGTATCTGGTCTTACGTAATTTTAAGACGATTTAATAGACAATGTGTATAATGGTTGTTTCTTAAGTTGTCTTGTAGCAAGCTATAATTCCTTAATTTATGCATAGAATAAAAGTAAAGTTGTGAGTTGCATGGTAACAACAACTTATACAATGGTAGAATAGTTATCTCATAGTCCTAAATTTTAGCTCATGAGATGGTTGTTTCACGAAACAACGACCTCTTTCTCTCTCCCCACTCTCTTTTGTCCATGTCACCAAAAATCCTACGTGCCATTGTATGAGATGGCATACGAGACCGCTGACGCGTAGCAATATAGCATGTGATGGCGGCTTGCTGAATTTTGGCTGAAACTAGTTGAAAACACTGTTCCGGCTGAAAAAACAAGTCGAACAAGCCGAATATGAGGTAAGCCGAACGGGGCCTTTCTATGTTGACTTTTGGGGGTATTTTTAATTTCAAAACTTTTCATACGAGCTCAAAATTAGTCAAATAATATATCCATTTTGACGATCTCAACAAACTCTTGCAATGATGCACTCTACTTCAGCATTGGAGATTATTTTGCAACAGTGGATATTTGAGTTACTATTAAGTCCTTTTCGCACCCATTCGTAACTATTCCATACATTATCTTTTAATGTACATTTTTGGCATATCACATATGCTGATTGTGGAGTGCCTATTGTGGACTTGTGACTAGATTAGTTGAAAGCTGGTTATAAAATTGTTTTTATCGGCTTATTTGTATATATTATTAATTATATGCTGCTAGTTATCTATTGTATATCATTATATTACACCGGTTCGAAGTATCTATGGGCGGTTCAATTCATCCGGTCCAAAACTATCGAACCGGCAGTTCAACCGGTTCTTAATGGTTGAACCAATGAACCGGCGAAGCAATGGCCTTGGCAGTTAGATGTTCGATCTGGTTCTAATAACTATGGGACTGAGACGACGGAGGAGCCCAACCTAGATATGCAACCCAAGCCCCTTAGTCAATATGGGCTAGCTGAGAGCCTAAGTTGAAGCCAAACATCTAAAGTGAAATGTCTATCCATCCATCTCCCAAGTCCTGATTCCCGATTAGTTGATGATCGCTCATTATACATTTTGTCTCCTGAGTCTTGTACTCCCATGATGAAAGATTCGTTTGGGTTTTGATAACTGAGTGACAATTTATGTGGACTAATGGTTTCATATGTAAGATAAAAAGCTAGGTTAGTCCAAAAGCTAGGTTGAGCCACATGGAGCCATGGAGTGGAGATGGCAAGAACCACGGGGGTGTAAGGCTCAACAAGTGAAGGTTGAAGATGATGGATGGAGATGAAAGCCAAGCAAGCAAAAGGTATATGATAGGGTTTTTTTTTTATTTCACTGGCCATAGGTAATTAGAGAAGTTGAATGGCCGGGCTTAAGATACATAGACATACTATAAAGTTGAGAGGTTCATTGTAAATACAGTTATCTAGTGCCACCATGTCATGCTAGGGGCTGTTCCTAGCCTATTTAACATGAAGCCGTAAGCTGAGAGGGCAACACGTTACACCAAACTTCACAATGGTAACCGCTAAATACAAAACCATGGTATGCGTCCATCATTCTTGTATTTTTGCAATATACACACGATCGCTGCGCCAGCGGAATGAGGAAAATCCGTCCCTGCAAAAAGAAACAGAGACGAATAGATCACAAATTTTATAGCAAAAAAAGTATCAGTGCTGCACTAGTGTGAGTTCACCATAAATCAGATTCATTACCAGTTGCAATTTAACATGCTCATTTTTTTAAATAAGGAACCTGATCCATTTAGAATGTAAATGCACAAGACAAAGATGTGAAGCATGACGAATTGATGCGACAAAAAGCGTTGCACTGACAGAGCGGGCAGCGTCACCCGATGAGTCCGGACAAACAAACCGGCTGCTCAACAATTCAGCCGAGTGTGCCCATCAACGATTCGCCATATTCATGCGCGACGGCTACAAAATCATATTCATGCGACGGCTACAAAATGGTATGGCATCAACGACAGAACCAGCCAACCAAAAGTTGCGTGTGGGGGCATCGGTGCATCATGCTCCAGCCCTCCTGCAGTCCAGCAGCGAATTCATATTGACAAATGACACCCCTACTATAGTTACTACCTGTAACTTTCTCGTGTGCATGAGCTTTGCCAGCAAAGGCACCCATCATCTCCAAAGATACAAGAGCCACTGCCTCTCTCCAAAGCACAAATAAGAAACATAAACAACACCTTTTGGAAAGTACCTAACTTTTCAGCCAATGATACCGATTACCAAATTCAGATAGCATCATACTCCAAGAACGGACCCAAAGAAACTCATATTCGTTAATTAATTAGAAACGAGTTCCTCTCAAAAGCTGAAAAGCTTGGTTTCTCCTTCTTGATATATAAATGAACCGTTAAATAGTACTACCTCCGTTCCCAAATAGAATGATGCTCTACTTATTTGTCCTAAGCCAGATTATTTTAGGTTTGACTAATAGTATGTTTATATAAAATACTTTTAACATTTATGACACCACATAGGTACACCATCGTGATGAATCTAATAACACTTAATTAGTTACTTAAATATTGATATTCTTTTGTATAAACTTAGTCAAATCTAAGATAGTTTGATTTAGAACAAAACTATAGTATCATTCTTTTTGGGATGGAGTACGATCCAAGAATAGCTCAAGCTCAAAGGGTGACATACAACTGAGGCCAACTTAATTCCATGATGAACCATCTGAGAACCGTATACCATAATACCAAGTACAGAAGTAGCTACGAGATACTGTAGACCACAAACCAACTGCACGAAATAGGATTACACCGGTGCGAAAGTAGTTTGCAGAACTTGACTAAGCTTCACAAGTCGCAACCAAACAAAGCAAAATCAGGGTCACAACTTTGACGCTCAGCTGTATGAGCAAACGCGAACATGCTTTACTAAAAAAAATATCATAGTTGGATTGCAACTGGCCCTAAATCAACTGAGCAAATAAAGGTAAAATAAGGTGTATTAAACAATGCATCAAAAAAGAAGATTTATTCAACAAAGTCATTGAAAACATATATTGAACTATATTCAATTTGGTTTGTCACACTTGCGGCGCGCTGTGGACGCGAGCAAAACGCCCTAGTTCCCTTACTAAGCATATAAGGTTAATCTAATATAATAGCATAGCTCTATTGCAGCAATGTACTAAATGCAAACATGGCTTCGTTTCATACAGATTGTCTTCTGATCCACAAAGAAACCCTTGCATAAAAAGGCAGGTGGAAGAACACTCTACCATAATAAAGAAATGTCGATTCTAGAGCAAAGCAAAGCATGCACATTCTAGAACATGCTGACTGATTACAAATCACAGAGGGGGAGAGGTTTTCATACAGCACAATATTGATGACCCTTATATTGACTAAACTGTTGACAATGTAAAGCTGGTGAGAGCTACATATGCCATTCTACTCACAAAGGACAGATTATTTAGGTTGCATTATGTTGAGATGTCATGGAGGTCAAGTTATAGACCAGAAAGGCAGAAACTGAGGTTGTTCCAGATATATGTATGTAAATTCTTGTCTTATTTAGGCCATGAAGTTTAATGTCTTGCTGTAAATCTTCTATTCAGAAAAATAATGGCAGTTGCCCTAGTCCCTTTATATTGCATAAATGTAAGCAGTGAGAACTGTTCAATATCCAGACAATAAGAAGAGTAGGAGCTCACGGCAACAGAGACCGTCCCTAGAAATATTTTCAGTAACGCCTACCTTCCTGAGCAGGAAAAAGGATGAGCTAAACTGATTACTCCATAAGTAGATGGCACAATTAGGAAGGTGCTCATCTTTGAAACAGAAAAATGAAGCTGCTTTTGATATAGAGAAGGGACCGACACAAGCATGATCGACCCCATTATGCTAGACCACCACAAGATATCATGCAATACAACTATCACCATGCTGTGTGCAATCAGTACAAACAACCCTCATACACTAATAACAGTCTAATTCAGCAACTTTTAAGCATCAACTATGATAAAAGCACGCATTATAGGTTCAACAAGATTAAGCATACCTACTTACCTTTAGGAGCATTCTAATCATCCAAACAAGACCTGATCACCACACCAGCTATAAATATTGAATTTTACTGAAGGGTGTGCCTTTAAAAGGCTAGGGAGTTCCATGTATGCACTGCAACTTCGTCTTCGTGAGACATTTCTAGACAAGTTCATAGTCACGCTTTGAAGCAGTGCAGCACATCTCAATAATACTTTCAATAAGCCAACTTCGTGATCTTCTCCATTGAAGCCATCGATTTTTACTTCTTTAAGAACAGTCACTGATATAATTTGATCTTTCCAGTTGTTGGGCTGATCACAATGGCAATTTACATGGCATGCTTTTCTCTGCTTAGAAAAAGAAAATCAAGTTCAATGCATTATTGATTTTTGACACTAAGTTGCAATGTGAAGCAAGCAACCAGTACAAATTGAATAAATCAATAAAGAATGTGAGTAACTACCTGATATCGATTTAATTCCACCTTAAGTTTTTGCACAGAGGTACAGAATCGAAGTAGATCCAGCACCATTGCTCCATAAACATGCCCTCTTGGTACAATTTTCAGTTCTAAAACAGAGAGGTTTCTCACCTGACTTTGGGAAATCTCTTGCTCAAAGGTCACGGCCATACCATCCGAAAAATTCTGTGGCAATTTGGAAGCGAGCCTTCAAATATGATATAAAATCAACTATAGTCAGGACAGAAAGGAATTAAACAGGAAGAGACGCACTTGCTCTGCCCCTATGCGCAGCAAGAGGATGTTGCCGTGAGCGCGGTGCTGTGGCTGCAAACAAGTATCTTCCCTGCTGTCGGTCTGTTGTGTCTGCACAAAGTGCCCCAGCGTCTTTAATTGCAGGCTCCACACGCGCCATATCCCTCCAAACGTGGACCAAGATCCGAAATACCATGAGTGATCAACCACCAGTGGCGCTGACAACGATAAGCTGAACTCATCACTGATACCCTGAATGGAGCTAAATGTCAATTTCTTAAGTACAGGGGCCACGATGTCGACCCGCCGAAGGTGTGCGGGGGCAGAGACATATAGCTCCTGGAGTGACGTCGAGTGGACTGTGATAGAGTCGTACTGCCAACTGGAAAGACTAAGCTTGCGCAGGCAGGGGCAACGGGGCAGCAGGTCACCCAAGGCCATGTGGCAGGAACCGAAGGAGAGGCTCTCAAGCGCCGTTAAATCTCCAGCCGGTGGCAGCCTCAAACGTGGATCAAAATGCAGACTTAACGAAGCTGTGCGGTCGAAGCAGGGCAGGTCTACGGCATCCGCGTCGCTGCAGCCGTCCGCGTGGATGTCGACAGAAAGCTCTGCCGGCGCAAGCGGCGCCGCGGCGCCGAGCAACGAGGAAATGCGATCCGGTGTGAGCATGTGGTGGATGGGGATAGAGATGCGGAGAGAACCCGCTGGGCGGGCGATCTGGCCGAGCGCTGCGTGGAGCTGTTCAGGCGTGATCTCGTGGAAGATGAGCTGAGGGGAGCGGGTCCAGAGACCGCGCCACCGGCGAGAGAGGAGGCTCGTGTTGGCTGCGGCGCGGGCGCAGCCGAGGCCTGCGAGGATCTGGAGCAGGAGGTCGTCGGGGAGGGAGCTGATGTGGTCGGCGTCGTCGGCACGGCGCCGGAGCCGCCGGGTGCTGCGACGGAGAAGCCCCACGCGGCAGCAATCGCGATCCAACTGCCATTTGCGGCACTCGCCGCACGCACCCCGCGCGGCCATCTCCGAGCAGATCGGGTGGCGGCGGCGGTACCCTCGATGCTCACGTGGTGAGTGGTGACGGGCGTTGGTTTTTGGACTTTCTGGACGCGATGATTGTGAATTGAAATTGATGGTCCCCGGTATGGTGGGCTTTATGGGCCGCTTGGACTCTGTTGGGCCGTCTCAAGCGCTTGTTTTGATTGGGCCGGGTTGGCTTCCGGTTTCTGGCGATGGAGTGCGCGGCGAAGGGGCTGGCCGCGGAGCCGTGCTTCGGCGGCGTCGCCGACCGGCGGTGCGGCGGCTGCGGAGCCGTCGCCTACTGCTCCCGCGCCCACCAGGTAGGTCATACCATTTACTCTACTCTCCCGCAAGCGAGGGTTTTGGAGGGGAGGAAGTTGGAACCTAGTAGAACGACGATCTGTGGAACTGGAGTTGCTCTTGGATTGTTGAAATTCGAGGGGTGGGGAGGGGGTTTGGGGTGGCTCTTGCCGTTGGGACCTGAAATTCTGCAGAAAATTGTTGGACTTGCATGGATCTGTTCAGTGTAACTTTTGCCACCACTGTGATGACCGTCAATTTAGAATTCAAAGCAGGCTAGATAAGTGAAGTTTTGAGTTCACTTTGCATTTTGCAGTGATTATTTTTGTTAGTCAATCAAGTTTCTGAAAGTGGGGTTTTGTTCACTTTGCATTTCTAATTTTTCTACAAAGGGTCTGTAGGTAATTCATATGACATATAGTTACTCTGGATACTTACAACATAAACTGAAATATGCCATTTCTTCAAAAACGTATCAAGATACGGTCTGACAAATTGTATAAGAAATATTGAGCATGAATTTATTCATCATCTTTTTTTTTTGGCTTCATAAAAATGATACTGCAATTGTCAACAACAACAATAAAAGTGTTAATTGTCGCATAAATTAATTAATCAGGATAACTACTAAATTGCTAATGAAGTTCTAATCCTCTTTTACAACCCCACATGAAAGTCCGTGTGAGGACTCCACTGACTGGTTCCAGAAAAGTTTGGTGCTTAAGGGAGATAATTGAACTGTGTTATTTGCCAAGCACTCATGCTATATTGTTATTATTATTATTATTTACTTTGTTTTTTCTTACTGGTATATACTATTCAAAACCATTCAGGTTATACATTGGAGGGTTCATAAAGAAGAATGTAAAAGGTTTGCAGAACAAATGAGGCGCATCGATGTGCTGAGCCAGTTTCCTTTCACCTTCTTGGAACCTCCTGCTCTGGTACTTCTCTGTACCCATTGTTTTCCTTCCAGCTAAGATTTCCTGGGTTGCTATTATCTCCCTGGAAATGACATGGTGGAACCTACTATAAATTTCAGTGCCTTGCGTCCAAAACTACACTTTACCCACATGAACTGTCTAATTTTTTTCTATTTTTATTGTATATAAGTTAATTATTATATCAATTTTGATACAGATAAAAGACTTGTGCATTTATGCTTAATTATTCTCTAGTTCTCTCACAAGTTCTTCCTTTTTTTAGAACCATGAATTATCAAGTGCAAGGTGCTTATTTTTGCAATCAATCAAACTTCACCAGAAAGGACTCTGGAAATCAGAATGTATATGTGGCCGAGATGTTGCTCCTGTGAAGGACTTAAGGTTTCCTTTTTGTTGAAATCCTATCACTTCCTTGTTTTCAGTATAAAAGCAACAATTTGCAATGCTGTTGTGGAGGTTTTCCTCCTTATTTTGATTGAAAGTCCTCTGTAGATATCTTAATTTCAATTCCACACTCACAGCTTGTCTCCTTTTATGTCATCAAATTTGAACTAGAAACATGGTGCATTTTGCTTTGGCACCAGAAACATAGGCATATTTTTGTTTTCTACCTCAATTTTTTTAATCATTTTGCTAGTTTTGGCTCTATATGAATCGATCTGAATAATCTTGATTCATGGCTACATGTTTGCTCTCTTCTTCACTTCATAGGATTTGCATATAATTTTTTTCTCGTTTATGTTAAGATCTCACTGTCTGTTTGAGAGAAAAAAGTCTCACTGTCTGATTGTTCATGAAACAAACTATGGCATGGTTTTAGTTTATCTCTTATTTTAGTCTCAGCAAATCTTGTAATTCCTTTTGCTCTTTCTGCTATTATACAGCATAGAAGCTGAATGGAACTTGCAAAGCTCCCTCTGCCCTTGTACAGGTGCATCTCTAGCTTTGCTGTGGTGACTCGCAGTATGTTTATCTCATTGCATTATCCCGTTTTTGTAAATATCAGAGCCTAGAAATCCTGTGCCTTCAGTCCTGGCAAGCTGGGAAGACTATTATGAGTGGAGATCCCTTCCCCTGCATTCACCTGTTGTTGTTTTACTTCATTGGGTATGTACATTGCAACATGTTATGGACATAGCTTTTAACTCTATAGTTGCCTGAGGTTCAATTTTGCAGCCACTTAGTCTGTATCATTGCATTCAACTCTCTCGGCAAACTCCAAGAGATGGTGGCCAGGACACCCTGTGCATTCACTATTTAGGTAACACCATTTCATCTTTTTATGTCGGGGAACTCGTGTTTTTCAGCATCAGTGGATGACTCTTCTCCTTTTTCTTGTGTATTGCTATTAATGGTAGGAAAAATACTCTCAAACTGACCTGGAGGAAGATAGGTGATATCTAACAAAAAAGGAAAATACAAATCCAGATGTAGCCTATTTGTCAGGAACTTATAGGATTTTTGCTGTATGGTAGGACTGGTTATGGATGCTTACTGTTCTTCCACAGTTTTGAAGTGCAATTACAGTTGTACACATCATTTTCTGCATTTTTTTAGACAACCATTCGAAAAGTCAAACTTCTTCGTCCCTGCTGAATTCCACTGGAGAAACAAGCCTCTGTTGTGGCCACAATTGATTAGCAAGTGGTGAAGCTTGTATTTTTATTGCTTATTAGGCACAAGGGTGATCTGTATGCACTTAACAACAAATCATGTGTTAGTCATGGCACCGTTGACCAGTTTTACTGTAAACCATCACAGGAGATAGTCAAATTTATCCAGTGAAATATCCTTTTCTGATTACTTTGATTTGAAGCTAGTTGATTATGATAGCATCTACTGATTTTTGCTATCTTCATTTCCACTTGCAACTTAAATGTCTAAAAGGGCCTGAGAAGGAGCTACTTCAGCTTGCAGCGTTTGGAGAACTACGTGCATTATTTCCAGGTGTCCAGATTCACATTGAGCTTGTGGGACCAGAAGTTCCCCAGTCTAGGTAAGCAACACAAGCCGGTTTTCGTTTTGGTCCTATACTCCTATGATATAGGAGAAGCTTAGTGTGCAATTTGGTGTTTCCTTTTATTTGTCTGACATCCATAGTTTGGTATTTGCCTTACAATTTGATGACAATACCTTTCTCATTTTATATCTTTGAATTAAAATATTTTTTTTTAAAGTAATTTGTATCTTGATAAGCTGAGTAGTGTTTTTTACCAAACACACAGGAGAGCTGTGTATCATTATATTAAGAAGAAAAAGGGGAAGAACCCTTACAAACCACACACCCACATTCCCACAAAATGTTCTTTATCTCATCTTCTTATTTGTTTGTTGTGTGCTTTATTCAACAAGATCTACATTTTAAATTAGCTACTATATGCTCCTCAGTGATATATTGGTTTGAGTTTATGTTCTTTTCCCTGGTTCTGTAACTGGTATGGTACCTGTTCACAGGGATGGTGAGGTTGTATACATTTCCAGATATGCATGTTGTTCTGATGAGAGCTGCTGTTGTAAATCTTCTATTGGTTCCAAAGACTTGAGCTGCACTGCAGTGACACTCAAACTGTGGAAAGGTTTCTATCATGAGAGATGCAGTGATATAATGAAGGTTCTCTCTACAACTACTATTTTCTGAAATGATGTGAAGTTACCCCACCATATTATAGACCCAAGCATGCCATTGATTGTAAAGTTTAGAAACAATGATAATACTGACAAGCTTTCACATGCATCGCACACAGTTCTGTATTGACTGGTGCTGTGCATAGTTTTAGATCTAGTTAATTCTAGAAGTACTAAGTTATTTGCAGTCTTTTTCTTTTGTTGTATCTTGTATGTTCAACTCTCCAATAATCACTGGAATGTGTAGAACTCACTTCCTAGCAGGTCTATTTCTGATTTTCTTCTAATTTACAAACTAAAGTAAGAAAAGAAAAGAGCACCACTCACCCATGAGCCTGCCGCCGCTGCTTGCTGGTCCTACCAGAGCTACAGCTGGCTTGTGCGCTGAACCATAGACCCAGTGGCAGAGCGTAGTGGAGGCGAAGCTGGGCCACTATTGAAGTAGGGGTGTGTTTAGTTACCCAAAATCCAAACTAATCCAAACTTTGGCACTATGCAAAAAGAAGATTCCCCGTCACATCAAACTTGCGGTACATGCATGGAGTACTAAATGTTGACGAAATCAAAAACTAATTGCACAGTTTGATTGTACTTTGCGAGACGAACGTTTTGAGCCTAATTAATCAACGATTGAACAATTATTATCAAATACAAACGAAATACTACATGGCACTACAGTGCCGCACAGTGATTTTGCCACTGCCGATTCCGGGCAACGAGGCCTAGAAAGTTTTTTAAATGTCACACATCAGAGCTAGCTAGTCCATGCATGAGTAAAGAAACCAGCAGTCCCTAGGTAGCTATGTCAGAAGCAACACGAATTAGCCCCCGCCCCCTCCCCCTGTTCAAGGCCATGCTCTGCCACTGCATAGACCTAACTGCTATTCTTGCCAACAGATCTGGAGCGTGTTCTCCCATTTGTGACATGAGGATGTCTCTTGTTTGAAACTGATAAAAAAATGATTCACTCACCAGATAATTTCAGTTGGCAGCTACTCTTTGAAATATTTTCCTCTTAATGCGGAAATACTACCTGCTAATACTTTTCCTCTTGGTAGGACTCAATTCCTCATCTTATTTTTGCCCCAAATGCTGGTGTGGCTGCATACCCTAGTTGGATGCCAACTATTGTGAGTATCTCTATTAGACATGTATATACTCGCTTACATTAACAACCTCATGTTTTCCTACAACAACTTCCTGTTGCGGTGAAAATGTTAGTGCCTGTGAGACGACATATGACACTGTTCGTTCCTACTTTACTAATATTATTTAACTAGTCAATTTGATTCTGAGGCATGCATGCAGAACATAAATTTGCACAATGGATTGAAATCTTTTGCATCTGTATTCTGTAACCCAGCAATTTCCGTCAACCATATTACTCATATTTTATTGAAGCACGGGATGTCAATATGTTATTGTTACATTGACATTATATTGAGAATTCATTATGCTGCTGCATCGTACCAGATCATATCATCTATTATTTTGCCTTAGCCTGCAATCAGCTTTACTTTTTGGTGCTCATTATCATTCGTATTTCATTTGACTTTAAGGAAATAATACGTCGGACTGGGATTCCTGCAATCTTTACGGACTTCTGTGAAGAAGCTGCACATTTAGCATCCTGCTGCATAAGCTCCATAACTGGTCAACCCCTTAAAATCCCAGTATGTGTTATACTTTGTCATTGTCGTTTCTTTCCAATTGTAGGCATTGAGAAAATCAAATACATCATCACGATCTATCATGTCTTTTCCAGATCCAGGTCAATCCTTTCAGGCAGCCAGTTGCAGCAGATAACAGTGCATTATACCTACCATGTTATTCAAATTGCTTTGTTTTGGGGATGTAAAATTTCCATGTGTCACCAGGAAGTATTCAGAGATTGATTTGTTGATAAATGGCAATGCAACTTTCCAAAGAAGACAAGGGTGCCATTCCTAGAAGATGGGAGAGGGGGGGGGTTTTCTGAGAGATGATGGAATGGGGATTTGAATTTTGATTTATGTTGGGAGTTGGGACATATGGAATTTGAGAAGACAAGTTGCACAAATCACGAGGAACATTGGAAGGGCTGGGAATAGCATGTGTACTAGCCGATACAAGGAGGAAATGTACTTTATTTGAACCTCTGAAAATACTTAGGTACTGCAATTGTAAGATGTTCACGTCAACTGATTCTTGAAATATACTATTTTCATAATTGGAAGATGTGGTACATGTTTTCTTTGGTGGAGCTGCACATTATCTAATTTTGTTGCTCACAGCAAAAGACGTATGGCCCCGTTCGGCTTGCTGAAACTTAGCTGAAACTGACTGAAAAACACTGTTCTGGCTGAATTGTTGTGAGAGAAAAACACTGTTCTGGCTGAAAAAAGAAGCCGAACAAGCCGGTTTTAAGGTAAGCCGAACGGGGCCAGACCAGTGTTCCGTGTCCATACCAGAATCATTTCTTTGATATTATTTACTCTAACTCTCCCAGGGTATGACATTCCAAAGTTAAAGGAAGTAAAATGCTTATTGTGTAGATTATGGAGAATATGTTCCATTTAATAGCAACAGAATCAAACTGCAAGTTTCTGGTCGCAACCCTTTCTCTCATCCATTTCCATTATTATCTACATGTAATCAAGCTATCATACATCATTATATCTACCACACAGCCCTATCTCAAACAAATGGGCAAGCACACACCACTCCAGAAAAAGTTAATGAGGCAAACCACAAAGAATTCTATGCAACATAATGTATGTATTTGTATGTGTTTGCTATGTTCAGCGTTGGGGTGAAATCTGGCTGAACACCTGCTTCTGCATCCTGGTTTTATGCCCTTTTCTCGCATTTTCATCGGTAATGAGAATATCATCTATCCATGACGCTATATTATGAGCCAAACTTTCCAGCACCCTTGAGTAGCTCTCCAGTATTGCTTGTCCAATGTCCTGTGAGAAGGTAAGATGCAAGAATGTTACTTATATTGCATTACCGTTCTTGAACGCAAAATCTGTCTATTTTGGTTCTGATCTAATGTGATTATCAAAACAGTTAGTACATTTAATTCTTTTTGCGTAAGCATCAACTAGTATGCTTAGCCCTTGTTTAGTTCTCCAAAAGTACACTATGCAAAAAGAAGATTCTCCGTCACATCAAACTTGCGGTACATGCATGGAGTACTAAATGTAAATGAAATTAAAAACTAATTGCACAGTTTGCTTTAACTTTGCGAGACGAATCTTTTGAGCCTAATTAGTCAATGTTTGGACAATAATTCACAAATACAAACGAAATATTACTGTAGAGAATTGTGCACTATGCAAAGTTTGCAGGTGTGCAAACTTTGCCGAACTAAACGCTCCCTTATATATTTCATGGTGAACAAGGGGCGTGTTCGGCTGGCTTTAAGCCGGCTAGCTGGCTGGCCAGCCAACTCACGGAGTCACTATTCACGTCCTGCCAGAACAGTATTTTTCTCTCACAACAATCAACCAGAACAATATTTTTCAGTCCTGCCGAACAGGCCCAAGTTTCTGGTAACAGGGGAAATGCAGATAAACATGGAATAACCTGAAATTTTCATGTTTCTTTTATATTAACCATTACCTTGTTGTACTGAATCTTGCTTGTATCCAGGGTAGTCTGCGACAGGCCTGGGAACCTCTGCTTCAAGCACAGGAGTACGCTTCTGGCCCTACTGGCAAGGATCAGATTCTTGTCTCCATCAGCATTCAGCTCGGTAACATTCTCCCATTTGGACACCACATGTGTTGTGCTTGCTTTTCTTCGCCACACGTACATAGCGGCTTCAACACGGTCTGCAATCTCAAGTGACTCATGTTCTGAGCTCAAATTGAGGAAGTTGAGGAGATGCTCTGGAGAGAACTGATCCCCTGAAGACATATACGGGTAGATGGCATCGCCTACACCCGCCCTCCCACTCTGTGGGGTAACATAACATGTATCAAAAGGAAGTCTTTGGCTGGGAGGATCAGATTAAGCAACTGACATACCTTTGGAAGTGTCTCTAAGTATGATAACGGAACCTGCATTTCAGAGAGGATACTGCTGTTGATTTCCATGGCCATCTTGTGGATCTGGCTTGCTTGGTCTCTCTTCTGCTGCAGTTCACGGTGCATGCGATCAGATAGCCCAGAGTCTGGGACACATGGCTCAGGTAACCACCATTTGTCCTCACTTCGCTGGAATGATTTCTTGCTTTCATTGAAGGATTGGTTTCTCTGGTCTGCATACCAGAACTCTGGCTTGTGAAAGCTGTCCAATATACCCTACAGAAAGAAATTCAGTCATACATTACGGTACCAGAATGGATTGTTTGGAGAGGGTTATGTGAATCAAGACTCACGAGGAGCATGGTTTCTAGCTTTTCAAGTGCAGGAAGGTTCATCGGGATGTCTGATCTTGGTGAGGTTGCCATCACCTGTTGCAATCAAAAAATTGAATCTCAATCATGATGCCATGAGGATCGATGAAACACATCAAGATTTGAGATGAGTGATGATCTGATGGCATTACATCATGTGTGCTTCCATCAGGCATGGTCTGGACAGTGGGTGAGAATTCGACAATGTATTCACAAATGGAGAGGAGGCAATCCATCTCCCTGTTCCACATCGATCTCTTCTCAGGGGACAGTGGCTCCAACCTGTGGCAGGTCCCGAACACTGTTGCTGCAGTTAGAACAAGAAGAGAAGCCTGCATTATATCAAAGTGAGTTTAAAGGATGAATGCACGAGGAATTTCCACGGTTAGATACCATATAGGTTGGTGATGGAATTGGATATGGCCACAGCAGTGCAGACACCTTTGCCGCTCCCTGACATGTCCTCCCCAAGCAGCAACTTCGCGTACTTCTCCTTCATCAGCTCCATCTCTGAAAGAGAAGAGAAGCCATCAT